TGTTTTTTAAGATTTGCAATGCTTGGAAATATGCATCGGGGAAGAAGAACACGTATACATGTCCTTCAGTTAAAAAATAGTAATTAATTTGACGAAGCTTTTCGGTAAATTTATCTCTTAAATTGACGATTAAGAAAACTCGAAACACTACTTATAAAAAAAACAACCAAGTACGGATGTTTTACTAGGCCGGAGCCGAATCCTGTGCACACGCCACCAGTCATTTTACTACACCAATAGCAATTCTATCCTACAGCAAAGCGAAAAATTATTCTACCTTAAAATGTAATCGATGTTGCAAGTTATTGTTCCTGGGTGTCTGAGACGTTTTCACCTAAAAAAAGATTTTGCCTAAAATAGAATTAAAATACTTATTATATAACTCTTTGCTCTATCACAAATCAAATTCAAGTCTTCAATCGCCCTTTTTCAATGACGTTGTCACGTGCGTTACTGTACTCCAAGCCCAAGCCAAGTAAAGAAAAAATAATCCACTATTTTGCTGCGGCCGCCATTTTCAATATGCAGAACTTTTCACTACGCCCTATGTCGTTGCCATCGAAACGAAATGTCTATACCAAATTTCAGCATAGTAGGAAACTCGAAATTTCTCGTACAAAATATTTCCTAGGGATAAACTTCCAATGGTCTCTGCCAAATTCAAACTTAAGCTACATTAGTTTTTGTATTGACGAGAATTTCAACAACACACATTTACACACAAACACACAGGCGAACGGATATGACTGGATCGTTTCGAAATTTGACGCTGATCAAGAAAATACATGTAGTTTTTAGGGTGTCCGAGGTTTCCTTTTAAATATTGCAAACATTATGACAAAATGAGTATACTGCCATTCTTCGATAGTGCGTATTCAAAAATAAAAAAATAAAAATAAAAAGAAACAAAAGAAGTGTATGATCCCGAAATAGATTCTTACAACTCTTCTCAAATTGAGCTAAAAAAAATTAGCAGAAAAATTATGGTTTTCGCAGTACTCCAAAGTTTCGCCTCAAAGTTCTACTTGCGGAAGTTTGTAGAAGAAGTTAATTTCGATATATCGAACTTTCAAAGGTAAAATCGTAATGTATGTCAAGGAAGTTTTCAAGTGAAAAATTGTTTTAAAATACCTTTGATTTTAATTCTTTAGGTACCATACACATGCTTACAAACATTTACAGCCGTCTTTTAAACTAAAGAATATATATCTGATTGAAATTCGTGCTCTGATTTCATTTCAAATGTTTCAGTAAGAGCTCAAGAAACCGTAATCAACGAGTTATGATAATCAACTTAGATGAAGAAAGTGTACAAGAGACGTCTGTCAGTGATGGATGGACAATAATTACACACTTTTAATAGCATTCCATTTTTATGAAAGGGTGATAAGCGCTATTTAGATATTTATTTTAAAAATATATCCGATCATAAAGCATATGATATACGTACGTATACGCAAAGGATTCAATTGACTTGCGTTGCTGAACATAACAATTTTAGAATTTCTCTAAAAAAAATTAAAAAACCTTATTTCATTTATTGCATAGCAAAGTTTCTTATTCATTTTTTAACTCTGTTTACGATTAATCAGAAAATTTTACGAAAATTCCAATTCACAATCCCTTACAACAGGCGCTCATTTCATCATTGATAATTATCTAAGTTTGCAGGACTCCTTTAAAGCTTTCCGGCGAGAATAACTTAATTTTTAGATAACAATGATCTAAAAAGAGAGAAAAAATATAAACTAAGTTTTTTTACTCAAATTTTTTTCGATGATAATCGATACTCTTTCCTGTATAGTCCAGACAAATTTGATAGAATTTCTTTATACAAAATCGCAAGGAAAGGCTTTGAAGACATCAATGAATTCTTCTCCAAACAGTTCATTCCCCCTATGTTCATGCGGGTATAGAAAAAAAAGATAAACTTTTCTGGCCCGTAGCGGTCTGTCAACTCGATGTTTTGAGTGCTTAAAATATAAGCTTTTCGATCGTGCATTGTCGTAGTCGGTACCAAGCTTTGACCTCTTCTATTTCTTCAACGTTTCCCGGCCAAGAAATTGCTAAGTTTCATTCGAAATTGGCAGTACTGTGGTTCTTTAAGACCACTTTTGCACATAGGTCCCGTTTTCTTGAATATACCTGAAGTACGAATATTTTTCACTTTCCTTAAGTGAGATCCGTTTTGCAAGACCTAAACAGCTGCCATTCTATTTGAAATTCTTCACCGGGGACAACATTCTAAACGATGTTTAATCTTTGGATGCGTAAAGTTTCTTTCAGATCGAAAAACGATACAAGTTCTCAGGCACCAGTGAATGAGTGGCCATTATATTAAGAATGTTTGAACGTTTGAATGCATGAGATTATGATTAAATTAAAATGGCTTACAATTGCTGCTATGAAAACTGACTTCTTGCAACCCTTTCTAGATTCATTCGCTAACGTAATTCGATAACGATTAAATTCATTTAGTAGATCGTAGTTAATCGTCCAAAGTCAAAGCAAGTTCATCTAATGAAAGGCATTAAATTCAATCTTTTTGAACGAAGTAAACTGATATCGCAGACAAGGTTTTCCAAATAAAATCCATCCATTTTCTCTCGAAGCGTAATTTCCAAACCAAAGACGTTAAGACTATACAGTGTCCTTATCACAACAGCATAATACATGTACTTTACTATTTAGAATGCACCTACTATCCACGTACCTGTGCAGGGCGTGGAAATAATTGGCATCCAAAGTAATTGCCGTACAATAAAAAACAGTTTTTTTTTTTTCTTTTTTGTGAAAAGTCCCTTTGGATGTGATCCATATATATGCATGAAGAGATTAATGGTTTGACTGGCCAAGGAAGAGAGATAAGCCGCAAGCTGGAAGGTTATGCCTTGGTCGATTAGGCGTCTTAATTGAAGTATAGACTATCGCAATTAAAATTCATAGTCATTATGCCAAGTTGATAGTCAGCTCTTCTCCCCTATTAGATTATTCGGTCGATAGCTTAGTTATTATAAAACGTTTTAAAGACATTTCGTAATAAGTTTGTAATTCTCCCAGATCAAGCTTGAAAGTGCGCGTGAGTCCTTCAAAGCAAAATATTTACACTATGTAAATTATCTAAAAACAATCCCGATCCGAATGCTTTTGCAATATACCAGATTATGCGAGATGAAAATCACGACCGTATAACCCTGGGCTTAAAAATTTAAAAGAAATTAGAGATACGCCAGTCAAAAGTACACGAATACTAACATTTATATTCATCCCTCTTCACAGCTAAATGCTCCCGCCAACACATACAGGGGGCAACCCCTCTGAGTGACTGGTCATCTAAAAAAAAAAAAAAAACAAATTTGGTCACCGACTCGTATTGCTCATTTGTGTCCAATTTGCGGGCCTATAACTGCCAAAAATATTCCTTGAAATATTTTCTTGATATCTTGATATTTCTTTGGTGTATTTCTACTAAGTATTTTCTGTTCTGCGAACCCCCAAGCAACGCACAAGGGACGTAAATAAAACTAGTTGGGGTATCCATTCTAAAAAAATTTCGAAAACCTATTCTCATGCTTTCTTACGAACATGACTATTTTCGAAAATTGTACATATTTAAGGAAGCTTAATGCACCTCGCCCTAGACAAGAACACTCAATTAGTACTAAAATATCCTTTTCATGTTTTTTACCTAAACATCTTTGCTTTTTAGCGCACATCTGCTTTGGGGTATATATATGTTTCAAATGCGCATATGTGTTTGGAGAAAGTGTGCGAATAAGACTTGAACAAGAACAACATTAACCAGAAACAACTAGAACTTTGTTACAATCATAATAATGTTACTACACTTCAATCACTTGACAGGAATTCTGTTTGGATGTTTTAGTGTTTTGCACGTATCGACAAATAAATCATTCAGATTTAAATTTCGTTCTCTGTTCGTTTACCTGCAAATGTATAAGACTATATATATATGACTGTTCATGATCGTCGTCGCATCAGCTACTTCGCATGTCTCTAGTGTTTAAAGCACAAACTATTTTATGACCAATGAATGACTCTGACTGAATCATTTGACATACATACATATATAAATAAATGTATTTGAAGGTATATATATATATATATATATATATGTATACATAACATATACATATGCATATGCACATACATATATATGCATACTACTGTTTCGTCTTTTCTATGCTACGTCAACGTTAACGTTTACGTCAAAACGTTACTGCTCAGCTTGCGGTCCATATACAATACTGTTCGCACTCGTATATGTGTTTTGTTTATTTTCTGTGTTGTGTGCGAAATTTTTGTTTTTTTTTTTATTCTATTTTTCTTTTTTTTTTTTTTTTTTTTTTTTTTTTTGCATGCATATATATATTTCATTTTCTGTTTATCACGTTTACAAAACACGTGCTTTTGCTCAACGAGAGTTTGATTATGAAGAGACATAACACAAAACCATAAAAACAACAACAACGATAAAAGAAAATACAGTAATAATAATGCAAACAATCGTTTAGAAACCCACAACTGAATACTTCCATCATTCCGTATTGTACGCTCCCTATTCACACACTTACTCAACGGAGTTCTCTGAGTAAGTAAGAAAATAAAGAATTTTTTTCAAAGTAATAAGTAGAAGCGAGAGCTATCGATTCATGCTTTTGATGTGAGAAAATGTGTCTTGCATTTAGTTTGAAATTTATTATTGGAATAGGAAGCAGTTACCCATAGAGAGCAAGCGATATTCACCCCGTGTATTTCCCTTTAACTCTGTCGCCCCCTTTCGGAACCAATCAATGTGTGACTGCATTGATTAAAATTGATAATAACAAATAATTGCATGCACATGTCTCAAGTTATAGTCAAAAACAGGTTGCCTTTACCTTATATATGTATATATGTATATATATATATATATATATATATATATATGTACATATGTACCTCTGTATATATGTACGTATGTATGTAGGTGCGTGCGTGTGTGTGTGTGTGTGCGTGCATTTGTGAGCGCGAGTGTACGTATGTTTTTGCATTTGGATGTGTTTGTGTGCATTATTTGTCGTTTAGTTATAGAACTTGTAAATATCTCATACAACAAGTGGTTATTTAAATATATGTACGCGTGTATGTGCATATTTGTGAGCGCGCGTGTGCATGTATATTTTCGTCCATGTAATTGTAAGCCATGAGTAGAAACGCGATGTGAATGAATTCATTTCGTTTGTTTAGATCTTTAAGTTAAACATTTAAAAGTCATAAAATGTAATTTATATATAGATTGCGATTGACGCAAAACCAAAGGGCTTTGAACCACTAAAATATTAATGATATACTAAAAAAAAAAAAAAATAAATAAATAAATAAAATAGGAAAATAAACCTAACAAGGGACTCTAATAGCAGCCTAAAGTCGAACAATTTCGCACTCATCCGAGTGTCATTCACACTGCGCTTAAAGCAAACGTTCATCAGCGTATTAAACTTTGGAAAATATTTGCTACGATAATGATTTTTTATATGTAGCTCTGCTAAGCGAACTTGCATTCCCAACTTTTCGAAAAGCTTGGCATTGGTGTACGAGGATTAGGCGGCAACAGTTTCTCCAAGTCATTTTTTAAGTGTATAAAATTTTTCAAGTAAGTTGTAGAGTTTTAATTGTTCCTCTTACTTGACTTACTTGTAATGATGTGACATTTAATTGAAATTTTGCTTTAGTTAAGTGATTTCCGGCCTGTTTCTGGATATTTGACTTTTTTGACCGTTCAATGCTGTGAACTAAGTTTCCGCTACAAGAAAATTCTGCCGAATAATATTATTACTTTTACAAGCACTATTACGCTTATTTCAGAGCTCCGATTTCATCAGGCATATAGCTCTTTGAATAGAGCCTATACAACGCATTTCTTAATATTACCTGCGATGCTATGCAGTTAATATACTCGTCGAGAATGCGTCGTTTATCTTTAATTTTTCTCTCTAATTCCCAGATCATCAACCTTTCACTTCGAACGTGTCAAAGTTTCTATCGGTTATCGTAGGCATTACCCAATTATTTTTTGTGATAAATATGTAAAGTCAAAGCTGATTAAGGAACAACACTTTCGTGTAAACAAACTGTAAGCTATTTTCAGGTCGATAATAATCAAAAAATAAAAAAAACATCAAATAATTGCTTGTTTTGTCACATAATAAATCGATCAAGAAGCGTTTAAGACCGCTTCAAACGATTAAATTTACAGTGTTTCTATACACCTTCAATTAAGTTCCGGTTCATCTTTTATCCTATGATATATTAATGCAAGACTTTGCGATTATTGGGCAGAAAAACTTTTATCCTCTGATGTCGGAACATACGCTTCCTATGTTGCGGTTACAACAAATATATTTAAATCGACTCATTATTTATGTTTGTATTTATGGTAACTAAGCTTTTTAGAACTCGTATAACAGTGGGACGGGATCACTTAAATATTCATAAAAATACTCGCATTTCGCTCGCTTGCAGTTACCATAAACAAATTGCCATAATACTACGTTACCTGACGTTGTACGTCATCGCTTTTTGTCAACTTGATCGTGAGCCTATGCTTAATTTTTAACCGAATGATAACAATGTTGAGGATAATAAAAAAAAAGCTTGAATCAATCTTATTAAGAGTTATATAATCATTTTGAATAATTTGTTCATACTGTCGATTTGTAAACTTTCCTTTTGGTGACACCGGTGGCTTCAAACCAGCACCTTTCTCTCAAATGAAAAGTTCTGAAGCTTTTTAGCATAACCCTTTACAACTTGTTTTACGAAACTGAAGAAAAAAGGAATTCTTCTCATGTTATTTATTCACAGCACAATCGCAATGGAAGTTAGTGCATAAAGCGCGAACAACCGCTCCTCGCTTTCAAATATCCTGCAATTTCGCTATACCTCACTGAAGAATAGGGAAACATATGAAAAAGCGTTCTTGATCAGAAACTCAACCGGCATAATTGGAAATCGTGCTGGCCTGCTACGAAAACATCTGAGCTTTCCCGCTGTGCGGAACTAAAACGGCTAATTCAAGAGGTACGCTCGAATTTAATTGCAAAAATAAAACGAATCTCGTTAAAGCAGTTACACTTCAGCTGGAGCAGACTGCGAATACATATTGAAGGCGCACTGTTTTTACTTAATTTTTTAAATAATTTTTCTATACACTCGACTGTCGATTTCTTCATATCGTAATAGAAAGATAAATCAAGAAACTTCAAACAATCAATTCCGCAGGGGAAATATGAAAACGGTCAAGATTTTCTCGCAATCGATAAATGAACGTAATAGGGTCGCAAAAACTAGAAAATAATTAATAATAATAGGTGCCTGCATGTATTTTGATTAGAGACAGGTATGGCAAAAGATGATAAAGTAATACAAAGTATGAATGTACACAACGGTTAAATTCATTGATTTTGACCTTTCTATGTTGCTCTATTTGCTAATTTGTAGAATTGAACTTTTGTATAAAAACTTTGATGGATGCATTTACAACACAAATGGTTTTGCGCGGAAACGTCAAGATATTCTTGCTGAAGAAAACGATATTTATGTTAGGAACCTTTCTTTGTCATTGTCTTAGGCAAAAAAATTCTATTGAAAGTTATCGATTTTCTTTTAGAATTTTGAAAGCAGAAACTCGTAGATGGAATGCGGGCTTTTCATATTTACTGCATCACATGTGACACAGGACATATTAGCTTTATACGGATGTTCTAAGTTCCGGGGAAACATAAGATGGGCGCATCTTTCATTATGTCAATCAATTCAATTCCAATTTTTGAATACTCTTAAACTTATTTGTTTGCCCGCGTTCCTGTCTTGCTGTCCATCTGACTAACTGCCTGATATCCATAATTTTTCAGATATTTTAACGAGATTTGGCACACGAAAAGGTTTTGATCCAAGGAAGAAAGCTATTGAAAATGAGTCGAAACGGACCAATTTTTATACCACTGCATATATAACGTTCTGTTTTGAAAACAATGTTGTTTAAAAACAACAATTGCAATTCTCGAAAATGATTAAATGGTAATACCTCGGTATACTATTGTTGTGAATTGGAAGAATTTAAATAGGACGGGCAAGCTTTTGCAATAGTTTCACATATCAAAAGATCCTGCGAAGAGTAAGCAAAAAGATCCGATTTCAATTATTTTACGATAAAAACTGATCCCATGTAAATGTCCTCGTAAAAAGTACGCCTTTATATTGAACCGGCCCATACTTTCGATATATAATAGACGCATAGAGGAAAAAAATTATTGAATATCAGCTGAGAAATTACTTACTTTGATAATTTAGTTAGTCGCGTCATTAGATTGAAGGAAACTTTCTTTTAGGGAAAGGCGAACGCTTATTACCTTGAAGCCAATAAAGGATTTATGAGAACATAGGACATTAATAAATAATGTATAAATAATATGTTAATAAATAGAATTCTATAGTTTAAATATCAACAAATTTTGAAGAAATATTCAGTAATGATGACGTACAACTTGATATAAAAGTTATTTTAATAATGCTTGCAGCAAACCATCATCATCTATATGTCATTCATAGAAAACAATCGGATATCTCGTGTCCGTAGAATCTACCATGCTGTTTATGAGTAATAGTTTTCTCATAATCAATTCACAAACATTTATTTTTAATTAAAGATGAAAAAACAATAATAACACACATCAAATATTTTAAACAGCAACGTCAACACACCTCAAAGACATGTGACTCTGTTGTTTTTTGTTTTTTTTTTTTCTCTATCTCTCTCTCTCTCACTTTTCTACGTTTTGCAAACAAAAAATTATAGAAACGCAATACAAGCATATTATAAGAAAACAAATAACTATAATATAAAACAAGAGATGACGACATATATATATATATATATATATATATGTATATATATATATATATTCATTTACAGTTTTCATAAGTTTAAGTTTAAAGGTTAAAAGCCCGTAAACTATGAACGGAAAAAGCCATTTATAAGTTTTAATATAAAATGTTTTATATATAAATTATGTACCCTGGACTTGCAAAGCGTTCGTTAAGACTTCAATGACTTAATTGCCCATCGCTTTTTTGTAGTGTTACGTTTCGTTTTGACGTCTTGAAGCCTAAGTTTATGCATCTTCTTCTTCTTCTTCTTCTTCTTCTTCTTGATTATTCATATCATAAAGCTTCGATTGACAATTGTAATTAGCTTTTTGCTTTCGGGTGGCGACAACGTCAACTATAAAGTTCAAAAGCTTATTATTTTCAATCTGTGAATGAATCTGTGAATACAAGCAAGACAGGCATTTAGCGTGGGGTAGAATCAACTTTAAGTGTATGCCATTGCTTGTAAGCTTACCAATCATTAGGTGAGTTTGCTGAGACGAAGAACCCCATAGTAAAATAGCTAGAGCTTTTTGTTAAGCTTTTATTTATTATTATTTTTTTTTTTTACTTTCCCAGTGTTACTGCAAGAGTCAACACCAGAGTGCATATAATTTAAAGCTTTTTGTTTGCTAGAGGTGCCATATGAATTAAGAAAATTTGGAAGGCTCTTTGAAATCGCTACAACAATTATTTAAAGTTCATTAGTTAACCGCAATAAATAAATCGAACGTTACGTTTTCCATATAATATGTCGCTTGATATAAATGAAAACTTCTTTTTATCGACATGAAGTTATTGCAATTTTGTAGACTTAAAGAGCGATCTAAATCTACACCCAATCCATATTTTTCATATAGGACAAAAGACTTTTCTACCCACTCTATCACTAGCAAATAGATGTATATTTTATCTAGGATTTATACCTTCGTTTGTAAACACCCGGAAGCATCATAAGATTAACAAAAAAAAAAAAAAAATTATAAGAATAGTCTTGACACAGTTGCAAAGATATCTTGCGGTTTTTATGTGTATCAGCATTTAGTAGAGTGTATTCAAAGTTCCTCCCAAGATGAATGTATTTTTTTATTCTTCTTAGTTTTCGAATGATTTGCAAATCCTCCAGATTCTATGAAAAAGTACAGTCGAAGCATTTTTTATTGCTTTATAAACATTGTAAGAAGTCAACTTTCTTAGGAACGTATGGAATCTATGAATTATTATCGATTTTGTTTCTTATATGATTACCAAATGCATGCATTCTTAATTACTTGGAATTATTCGGCAATTAATAGAAATTTACATTAAAAATTAATTGCGTTTGGTTGGCTGTACTTGCTGTATTACCAGCATAGCCCTATACACTGCCGTTGACTTAAGATAATCTTCACTGTTCGGTCCTTACGGTTCAGATTTGAATTTAAAATATTTCAAAAAAAGGAAGAAACCAGGGTTACTGCTCTGCAAGGGAACAATGTTAGCGAAAAATATAAATAGTATCAGTCGGAAAGCACTCGTATTATTATATATTTAATTCACAATTGAATAACGATTTTTCTTATTATTATAATATCTCCCAACAGTTAACAGCAACGAGAAGTGGCTTCAAGCTTAACAGATTTTCAACCTGACGCGACTATTTTTTTTATTCAGGGAAAATATATCGAAACATCTCATCAAGAGATGGCATTTTAACTTTAAGCACGCAGTTTCATGTTAGCAAGGCATGTGGATATGATGGCTATGTCCACAGCGACTATTTCCACACAAACGAAATGAAGAAAATTTGATATCATTTAAAATCACTCGGTGTTTGTGATGGTTGGCGCAGTTGTTCAATTATTTCTCTTCAATTTTGTGAGGCAGAGAAATTTCAATCTTATCATAAAGAATATTTTATTTTTTTTTTGTTTCAAAAACCATAATCTTGTTCACCTGTTTTATCTGTCGAACATTATGGCAGTGTCAGTTCAGTTCATGGTACTCTCGGCACAGCTAACACAGTTCAGATATAGCACAAAATTGAAAGACGCAAGATAAGACCCATAATGTAAGACTCTTTGAATGAAAAGTTTAAAGGTAAATTTTCCTACTATATATAAAAATATAGAGAATTAAACTCAATATTAATATCCCGAATAAGTTAAAGGATCGGGCTAATTTCTCGTCTATTATTAAATATATGGTTAATGCGTAGATAAACTCCAACAGTTCGCGTATTAGTTGAAGGTTATGGCATCAATTTTTACTTTTAACGATTTAGAGATTGATTAGAGAGAATATTTACTTATAGAGAGCACAAAAGCACAAAAGGTCGCTTCATTATTGGAACGAATTTTTCAAACAGACATTATTCTAATACAATTATAATTAGAAATACATTGGAAGCAGATGTGTTGTGTGTACGTTTATCGCAAGATAAAATATATGCACAAATTTATGATGAAAATGCGTAAAACAAATGCTCTCGAATTGTTTGCATATAATTCATAATTAACAGCGTTCAGCATATAAAATAAAAAGCCAACTTTTCAGTGAAGCCAACGTCGGTAAAATTCCATTGAAAGAAAGAAAACATTTTGAACAAACATTTAAATTTTCAAACTTAAAGAGCGAATGAATGTCTTATGCGTTGGCACTATATCACGAAGTGGAACGTACCTGATGTGGGAGAGATCTTCTCGTTTCGTTTTTCTTCCGTTAAAGCAAGAATTACTTTCTGGAATTTATTTTACTTACCTTTATATTTAAATTAAATCCATTTAAAAAGCTTACCTAAAAAGAAAAACAGATTTTTTGTGTTGTTTTGTTATAAAGGTTTAATACAGAAAGTACAGAGAAACGAACAGAGAAATGAATGAGTGATTAAAAGAAGTGTTAATTTCTGCCCAATCG